AGAAAAAAAAAAAAAAAAAAAAAAAAAAAAAAAAAAAAAAAAAAATAGGCCTAGGCCACACTTGGTTATGAACTTGGCTTAATAGGTCTGGGTTGGAGTATGAACACCTGTTCTTTTTATAAAAGTTTCAGTAGTTACTCTGATACGCTGCTGGTTGAGAAACTCCATATTACTGAATTTACTTTGAACTGTGGTCTTTCTTTAGAACATACTACAGACCCCTGACATCTGTATGGACCTTTTTTGGAGATTTTCTTTCTCTTCTCCTTCTTTCTTGGTATAATTTAAAAATCAAATTATAGTCCACTCCACAAACAAACCCTGTTCTAATGCTCCCCTGCCTGCATTCTGCTTTTTCTCTTATTTCAAAGTTACATTTAAAAAATGATCATGATTTTAATTTGAAAAATCTTACATATTGTAAGATGTAAAAACACTGTTCCATAATTGGAAATACAGATGCCATCTTTTATCACAATAAATAAAATTCCCAAGTAATATTCTCCTTTTCCATATAGACAACCTAATACAAGAAAGTAAAAATGTTTGATTTCTCTACTTGCTTACTAAAGACATACCAGCAATTGAAAGAATCTGCAATAACCAACATTCCTTTACTTTGATTCTATTAGTTATTTTGAATTCATATTTTATTATAAAGACTTTTTTAAAGGTTTTTATTGAATACGGAATACAAACAAAATATGAAAATGTTAACAAAAATGAATACTTTTGGTTCTCTCTCCTCTTTCTGTTCCATCTTTAGGGAGGGCTCAACAGTGAAATCATAAAAGAAGCAGAAAGAAGGGCCTAGGTAATCAGGCCCTGATTTATAAATGGAGCACTGAATGTAAGGTCACAAGGAATCCTAAAACTGTTCAAAGAAAGAGTTGTCTACTCGAGGATGTCACTAACTTCTCTATATTGCAGGAACAGCAAAACTGAGTAAATGAACTCTGCCATAGATGAGATGAACACCACTTTACTTCTAAGACAAATACAACCAATCAACCCCAATTTATGAACTAAGCACAGAACTCACCAGTTCGATAGGCCAGTAACCTGGCCTGAACCATGCAGTGCCTTGCAATTTCTTGTGGCAAACTTTGATTGTGAATTTCATTAATCTGTTCTGGATTGCTACAATAAAATCCAAAGTGTTTAAAGTTGGGCACACTGGAAGCTACTGTGGCCAAAAGTAGGATAAGGTCTTTCATGTTTTGCCTTAGATTGCTAAAGTATGGATTTTCACACAGGTTCTCCAAACCTATAGTCATCAGAATTTGCTTATGTATTTCTTCATTTGAAATCAAAAATAACGTTTCATATTCTTTTATTCTTTCTTGTTTACATTCAGAATAAAAGTCAATGTTAGCATCCGGCAATGTTTTTGTAATTTTTTGAATAAAGTCACATTTGTAAGAGGTCTCCTCTACAAACTGCACCATATAACACACCAGAGGTTGAAGTAAGACACACACATGGGCCCGACTGTTTGACTTCAATCTTTCCACTGCTTTGGCATCTAACTTTGCATCTTCAGAACTAGAAGCCTCAGTAAGCAAACTTATTTCTGGATCAGCAGGCCAATATGAAATTCGGTTAACTCCAGCTGAAATACAAAATTTGAAAGGTAATTATCTGATACATGCTGAATTTAGCATTTTCTTGATAAATCCACCCTATTATTGCAGTAGATCTAGAGGCCCCGATGTAATAAATGTCTATTACCAAGTCACCTATTACACAGCCCGAGGGTTGGCAAACTACCACCAGGCCAAATCAGGCCCACTGCCAGTTTTTGTACAGCTCACAGATTAAGCATGGGTTTTGTATTTTTAAGTAGTTGGAAAAATCAAAATAAGAACATTTTGTGACACACGAAACAATGGAAAATTCAAATTCCAGTGTCCATAAGCAAAGTTTTATTCGAACACAGATGCACCTTACATAGTCTTTGGTTACTTTTGCATGGCAGAGTTGAGCAGCTGTGAATGGCCTGCAAAGCCTAAAATATTTAGTTGGTTGGCACACAGTGTTATAACACCAAGGTCAAGTGTTCAGTTCCCCTCACTGGCCAGCTGTGAAAAAAAAGTTCCTGTCCTCTGACTCAGAATTCTTCTGGGGAACCATTCAAACAAAATATTATAAATAGAGAGAGAAAAAAAATCATGCATGCATGTTTAGTACAACATTCTTTTAAAAAGTAAAAATGTTTTTTAAAAAACCTAATGACCAAAATAGGGGAATGGTTAAACAAACTATGGTCCTCTTCATAATAAAATATTATACAGTTATCAAAAATATCCACAAAGAACTTATAAAATAAAAAAAAAATTTTTTTCTTCAAAGTAACCAACTCAATGAATCCTACATTGGGATGAAACATTTTAATCTGATGGTAGCGCCTAACACTGTATGGGGAGCACTCACAGCTCCAAGATTTTCCTTCCAGATGACAAGAAAATTCCTGGAAATAAATAGCTATGCTACAGCCTGGTCTGCTGACCGTGGGAAGGAGGGGAAATGGATGGGAAAAAAATTGTGTTCTGTCTTCATGTCACTCGTAGATCCAGTCCTGAGCACAGCTCTTGTAATCCACCAGTTCCTTACGGTGAAACCACAAACTGATCTCCTTAACTGCACTCTCCATGGAATCACTGCCACGAATAATGTTCCTGCCAACTTAGATGCAAAAGTCCCACAGATGGTCCCAGGCTTGGAGTCTGCAGGGTTGGTCTCCCTGAGCGTCATTCAGCCTGTCTTCACAACATTCAGCCCCTCCCAGACCATGGTAACCACTCGCCCTGAGTGCATGTACTTCACCAGGCCAGGAAAGAACGGACAGCCCTTCAGGTCAATGTGGTCTTCCTTGAGAAGGTCTTCAGAAGCCTGCATGAATTTCATACTAATGAGGCAGAATCCCTTCTGCTCAAAACACTTGATGATCTCTCCCACGACCCCGCTGGATCCCATCAGGTTTGATGGCAGTGAAGGTATGCTCATTGTTGGCTGTGGTCCTCTCCAGCTGCTTCAGCTTCAACTCTGGCTGCTCGAAAAATTCTTATGTAACATGAGGGTAGGGGAGAGCAGTATTAATTTCTTAAGCCCATAAAATTAAAGACAAAACAATGAATTAAAGGAACATTTTTCAACCAGTGTGAAAGAGGAAAGGTTAATAATCTTTAATATACAGAGAAGATTTTAATTCATTAAAAGTATATATGAATTGTCAAAAATAATAAGGCCTCAGAAGAGACAAAAAGATATGAACAAATAATTTATAAAACAGAAAACATAACTAGATAACAAACGTAAGGAAAAATATTTTACTTTGTATTTGAGATTGAATAATGAGATGCCTCATACATAGTTAAGCATCCAAATATTCATCAATTAATGAAGTTTTCAACAAAGAGACCCCTTTGCTAGTATGTCATGTAATTTCACCTATGAAATTTTTGTGTGTGTGTGATTATGCCCCAAAGCAAACAGACACATAGCCCACAAGGTCTTCTACCCTTCAAAGTAATAGATAGGCATAAACTAAAGTCTAAGTTAAACAAATGCACTTTTCTGTCTGCTCTCTGCTACTCCTGACTCACTGTGGCTTGGGCTGCAAAGCAATTCTGAAGGCCTCAAAGCTTATATCTGAGTGTTTCCTCTGGCTACATTTTACTTTCCCTCTGTCCGAATTCTCATAATCCATTTCCCAACCAGCAATGATGGCAAACCTATCATCTAAGCATCGTAGTTGCTCCCAGTAATCCTGATCCAAGAAAAAGAGAGGATAAATAATCTTTAGACAAAAGTTCATGTACTAGTAGCACTGTGACGGATGGGGTTTTCAAGTTTTGTGATCTCAGGATCCCTTTACATTCTTAAAAATTATTGATGACCCCGAAGAATTTTTTTTATGTGAATTATACCTATTGATATTTATTATATTAAAAAATTAAAGCAAAAATTTAAATACTCATTAATACATTAAAAATAACAATCTATTACACATGAATACAAATAACAGCTTTATGAAAAAAATTATATTTTCTAACACAACAAAAATTAGTGAGAAGAATGGCATTGTTTTAAATTTTTATGAAATTGGGCCGGCCCGGTGGCGCACTGCTACAGTGCGCCGCTTGGGAAGTGCGGCGGCGCTCCCGCCGAGGGTTCGGATCCCACGTGCAGACTGGCGGCTCACTGGCTGAGTGAGGAGCGGGGGCAACACCGAGGGCTGCGATCCCGTTGCCGGTCCCGGTCTGGTACGGGCGCGACACTGAGGGGTGCGATCCGTTGCCGGTCACAAAAAAAGACAAAAATAATAATAATAATAATAAATAAATAAATAAATAAAAATATAACACTGCACTCTAACCAGCTGAGCTAACCAGCCAGCCCAAGGGCAGTGATTTAAAAAAAAAAAAAAATAATAAATAAATTTTTATGAATATCTTTAATAGTTGGCTTAATAAAAGACAGCTGGATTCTCAAATCTGCTTCTGCTTTCAACCTGTCACAATAGGTTGTTTTCATCGAAGTATATGAAAAGTCCAGCCTCACAGAGATATGTAGTTAAACAAGGGGTATTTTAACAGCCATTTCAGATGATTGTGAATATTCTTCTTTGACATTACATAAAAATTTGACAAGGGATAGTTTCTTAAAGGTTAGATGCACTGTGGGATTTGAAACCATATCAACAACTTTTTGTACTGTTACTGGTCCATTGGTCTGTCTTACACTTAGAATGTTTATTTTACTCATGCATGATTTTGTAGCATCATGCATAAGTCATTTGGCAAACAATGATTTACTGATTTTACAATATTCAGAAAAAACCATTCATTAATATCACCACCAATGTTATCAAAAGGGTCTAAGTACTGGTAAGATGTCAAGTTCATAATGGTGGATATGAGCATTCCAAAATTCTAATTTTCACTTAAAAGCTCAAATTTTATCATTGGCAACAAATACTGTCAGTTGTTTTCCTGAACGTGACAAGCTCAATCTATTTTTGAGAAAATGTCTGCCAAATATACAAGTTTAAATACCATAGTTTGTAAGTTCACAGTGTTCCACAAGAAAACTGGATAATTCAGTTTGCAAGTCAAGCAATTACATAATTGGTTTTCCTTAAGGCAACCTCACACTTAGGTTTGTAGCAAAACTGCTTCCTGCCCACTTCCTATTTCCTCACACAGAATATCAAAAAGATGTGTAAAGATGTATATGCAAAGGTTGGGATTTGATACAATTAGTCATTTTTAGCAAGGACATTCTTACGTGAGATTGGTTTTCCTTTACTCCGAGTGCAAAGAAGAGTACAACATCCACCAGTGCAGTTTGGCACCACTGCCTTGATCCATACTACTGCACCAGTAGTTTTAGAACTATTAGTGTGGGGCCGGCCCGGTGGCGCACTGCTACAGTGCGCCGCTTGGGAGCGCAGCGGTGCTCCCGCCGAGGGTTCGGATCCCACATACAGACCGGTTCCCGCTCACTGGCTGAGCGAGGTGCGGGCGCAACACCGAGGGTTGCGATCCCATTGCCGGTCCCGGTCCAGTATGGGCGCGACAGTGAGGGTTGCAATCCGTTGCCGGACATGGGAAAAAAAAAAAAAAAAAAAAAGGAACTATTAGTGCGAATGTTAATATTATTATGAAAATAGTGTTGAACTCAAGGACCAGCAAGCAGCAGTCCACAGACCACACTTTGAGAACCAATATGTTACAGAAATGTTTGCTTTGTAACTGAAATGATAGTAATTGCAAGTAAAGTAATTTAGCTGTAGCATAGGGTTCAACCATGCCCCTTCCCAAGATAACTAACTTATAACATAGCAATTTCGTTTATATATGGGTCTAACGCCAACATAAAAGCACTTCCATTGTAGTTCTTTCCTGATTTTCCACACTTCGTTATCTCTCTTGCCAGGCTGAGATGTCTTAACTCAAAGACATCAAGCAGCAGTGAGTTACCTGCACTCCTCTGTTCTAATTTTTGGCTCTGAGACCCTCGAGCGGGAGCGCCACCGCGCTTCCCAAGCGGCGCACTATCCAGTGCGCCACCGGGCCGGCCCCGGCTCTGAGGCTATTAAGAGCACTTTCAGCGCAGTCAGCTCAGCACAAAACAAAACTATCTTTTATTCATTGTTCTCCCTAGAGTCTAGAACAGATCAGTCAATAAATGTTTTCTTTCACACTCTTTCCTTTCTATATCAGTGCCACCAACTGAACCCTCTTTTATACCCTGCCTACTGCAAAAGTCTACTAACCAAGCTCCCAATCTCTAATTCCTCCCTGCTCCTATTCAATAACAATAAAAATTTCAATCATGTTACATCCTGCTCAAAAATCTTCAATGGCTCCACATCATCTATAACAGGAATTATAAGACAGTTGAACACAATTGATAAAATGAATGTCCAATCTGCCTGGTTAGTTGGAAAAAGGAGAAAAAAATGCCACCACCACTATCATACCTACCTTCTCTATCTGTAATTGCAGTGGAGAGACTACAGAATCAAATATCGATCATAGACACCTTCTTGAAATGCTGGTTGCAGGCCAGGAGGCTTCTAGCCACATGACTATTCCTTCTGGAAGTTCTTCTACTTGTAGCTCAAGGCATTGACCTTGACACAGATCTGATCGTTACTCTTAAGACTTTTCTTTTATTGGAGAATTACTCTTAAGACTTTGATACAAATAAAAATATCTCTTCCTCAAAACAGGTCTAGAAACTCTGTTCCATAAGATAACGCCCAAAGGCCATACATGTTTCTCCATTAAAGCCCCAACCTGTCATTATAATCCATCTGCCACTATTCTCCAAGAATACTCCATTTCAAATATTGACCCCAGAACTTTGCTTCTTACAACTTGATGACTCCATATGTGCTGTTTCCCCAACCAGGAATGTGTTCTTTCTCCTCTACATCTGATCCCTCAAGATCCAGCTTAAGCCGCAGCCTTTCATAACATGCCAATCTGTAAGGATCTCTGTTTCTCCTTTGAGATCATATATCACTTACAGCTTGTGTCACTCATTGGTATTAGATAATGTGCTACATTAAATTGTTATTTTGGCTGCCAAATAACAGTTTGAGGTAAGGGATTAGAAACTATTATTAGTATTTTTTTTTTTTGATCCGCCATAGCACCTACATACAAGATACACATTTTTTTTTTTTTTTTTGTCTTTTTTCGTGTCCGGCAACGGATCGCAACCCTCAGTGTCGCGCCCGTACTGGACTGGGCAGCACCTCGCTCAGCCAGTGAGTGGGAACCGGTCTGTATGTGGGATCCGAACCCTCGGCGGGAGCGCCGCCGCACTCCCAAGCGGCGCACTGTAGCAGTGCGCCACCGGGCCGGCCCGATACACAATTTTTTTAAATAGAAGAATGGTCTGCATATTTACCTGGGTGCAAAATAGACTCTATAAGCACAGGATAGGCCCATGGCTCACTTGGGAGAGTGTGGTGCTGATAACACCAAGGCCACGGGTTCAGATCCCTATATAGAGATGGCCAGTTAGCTCACTTGGGAAAGCATGGTGTTGACAACACCAAGTCAAGGGTTGAGATCCCCTTATCGGTCATCTTTTTAAAAAAAAAAAAAAAGAACCTATAAGCACAAAGAGGTTTAGTGAGCAGCCTGGTGTAGTAGAGATGAATGGCTGTTCATTAAAAATTTGAGCTTCTCCTTCCAAAGTATAGAGAGCCATTGGGAGACAGCTGCCCAGCCAGGGACTATAGTTTCCACAATGGATATGAACAGAAACGATGTATGTGACTTCCAGGCCAAAGTTTCTTAGAAGTATGCCTTCTCTACTCTCTCTTTCTCAGTCTGCTTCTGGATGACAGGCCCTAGGGATGACAACAGCAAGAGGCAGAAGATGCCTAGGCCCATGAATCAACTACATGAAGAAAAGTTGCCTGCTGTCCAGCAACACCTGTGTTGGACTATTATATAGGTGATAAATGTCTAGTATATAAGGGTATTTCAAAAAGTTCATGGAAAAATAGAATTAAAAGATAATACTAATCTTTCCATGAACTTTAAACCCCTCAAATCAAATCACTAAAATTTTGTGGTTTATTTGTCACAGCAACTAGCATTAGTCTATTAATTCACCGAAGGTCATTTAACTGGTTAGTGGACAGAACTGAGACCAGAATCCATGTTTTCTGACTCTTCCTCTTACAATGTGTCAAATCGCCTTTAGATACACATTTATATTTCCAAATTATCTCTGTGGTATTTAGGCAATTTGTTCCCACTGATTGCTCTCAGATAAATGCTCTTAATCCCCAACAAAGCCTTATCTGCACTTACCATTTACAATCATTTTCAAACAAGCAGAACATGGTTTTCTGGAAAAATAAAGATCACAGTTTTTCAGCCTTGACCCATGTTTAATAAGAGCAATTTGCCCAGCATGTAAATCTTCACTAGAACAATGGAGACCAACAATTTTCATATTTTTCACCACCACAAGACCAGTTCTCTTCACCTACATTAAGATACAAAATAATAATTTATTAGTTATCACACTTAATGATCATATCACGAATTATAGTTGATTTATTAATAAAATGAAGGTTTTGTTTAATTCTTTATCTGAAGAGTTTATACAATAGCACATTTCTCATCAGGTCCAAAAAACTTTCTGAAAGTTTAGTGTTGACTTTAGACTTGAAATTTTCTAAAGCTAGGCTCTACTAACCAAATAATTAAGCATGTAATTATCATTCATTTGTTCTAGTGAAAGATGAATACATTTTAACCTAGTAAAGAACCAAGTCGATATGACTTGTTTCTTAAAGCATCTAATCTAGGATATTTTGTATTAAGCTTCTAGATGGTAATAAGAAAAAATTTGGAAAACCTGCTTAATTTACACACGGATTAGTGAAGTCCAGAGAGTTTACATAATTTTCTGAAAGACCCATAGATGGTAAAAGGCAGAACTAAATCTTAAATTCTAAAATATTTTGAATATTGACTGAAATAAAGATTATTCTCAACTTCTTTCTAAAAACCAGCTGTACTAATTTTTAGCGCTATGACAGTCTAGATTAAAGTAGTTAGGTCCCACCTACTACAAATATATGCATGTTATAATAACAAAAAAAGGGAAGACATACCCTCAGGTGTCACAAAGGGAGAGAGAATTCAAAACCGGGGCAGTGAGCTTGAGCTTTCTTGGCAGTATTCCACAGAGAGGGGATGGGGCTGACTCCGATTTAAGCCCTGCAGGCTTGGGACTGACTGGGGGTCTAAAGAGTCCCAATGTACCTCTTTGAATGAAGATTTCCTGTTACTTTGACCTAAAGTGTCCCAACTTATACAAATACTAATCAAAAAAGCTGGTGTAACAATATTAATATCAGATAAAGCAGACCAAGTTAAAAAACAATCAGTTCTACATAAGGCACAAAATAATCTACGCTGTTTTCACACAAAAGACTGAAGTAAGGAATGTAAACCTAATCCTTGGCTTCAGGACTGACTGTTACAGTATGTGGGGAACGTGGACTGACAACAGGGCATCTCTTATTCCCTACCTCCTTCCAAAGGGGTTTTACGCTATACTTATCCCCCAATACAACGTATTTGAAATCATTTTAAGGATCAGACCAAAGCTATGTTAACTAAAATAGTCAAGTTTCAGTTTCAGTTATGAGTATAAAAGTTTAAAACTATGCAGAATGATACCTTGTGAAACATGTAAAAAGAAGAAATAGAGAAGATTTTATGGAATTTCATACCTGAGTTAACCAACCGTCTCCTAAACTGTAAGAACATTTAAAAGGAATACAAAATATTTCCTTCACAAAATATATATCTAAGAATATACCTAAAATATGAAAAATTTATCTATATTGGCTTTTAACATAAGCTTTAAGTTTACCTTGAATTTGTGAAAACTTTCCCCTCCCCATCCCAAAATTTCTTCGAGTTTTATGTTCCTCACATATGCAGTGTATGCTATTATGTACTTCTGAGTACTTCCAGCAAGTTTGTTTTTTTAAAAAAAGGTCACTTTAGAAAAGAACTGATGATACCTTATCAAAAGATCTTGCCACTAGAGTTCACGTTGTGAAACTGAACCAATGTGACCAGTGGAAGTGGTTGTAACTGAATGACTTTAGCTTTAAATATTCTAAGTAGTTAGACAGATGTAAAACCAGAAGCCTTGTGCACAAAAGACTTTTAAAAAAATTATTCCAAATAAATGAGAAACATACTCATCAATTTATTTTTTATTAGAATAATCTTTGGGGCCAAGTTTATCACTTTTTTGTCTAGATCCTTTTTACCTCAAAAAATATAACTTTTTTTTCCATTTTGCTTCAAGTTTGAGACAAAGATTTTTTTTTCCATCCCTAACTTAACAAAACAAAACAAACAAAAGCCTAAGCTGCATTCCATTTTGGCACTTCCGCCTACTGCAGCTCCCCAAAGACTGGATCTTTTCAGTGAATCGCTGTTCTGGATCTTGGTTTTGCTTCACTACACTAACTTCTTGGCCAGTCATCTATGTAATCCTAGTCAAAGAGTTTTACATTAAAACATGGACAGTCCGTTCTGTACATGAACTACTACACTTACTTAAGTGGTGATTCTCTATTTTTTTCCCTTTGCCTTTCTTCTGTTAAAACATCTAAGTCTTCTGAGGCAAATTATTTCTATACTCTTGCTGAGCGTTTTAGAGACTCACTCTCAGAACTATCAGGAAATCTATAGGAATGTACATAAGAATAATCAAGGTAATTCTTTTCGAAATATACATGCTTAGTCTCCACTCCACACCCAATGAATCAGAATCTCTGGAAAACTCAAAAGATTAAAGTAACAAGGAAATATTATACAATATTAAAAAGAACAAGGTTCACTTTTCAGGTCTGGGCTTTGATCATAGCCTACTTACAAACTAATAAGTTAGCCTATTACTGTTTCATGGATGTTAGCAGAAGACATGAAACTCCTGGGTCAAAAACAATGGACATTATTATTTGCAACACAGCAGTCTGAGCATCATGTTTGGGATTTTTTTCTTGCCCTCAAGCCCTGTACGGGGTAACACAGAGGGACACTGATGATTGTCTGGACAGACAGTGGGCTGTGTTACAGAAGAGGAACACCAAGCTTGGAGATTCAGCTGTTTCATAGCAAACGGTAAACCAATCTGTTCTTTGTCCTGGAGAAAAACATGGAATTAAACCTGATTTTTTGTTAAACAAGATATAAAGTTGTATAAAATCTTGTTATTAATATAGTTTTATAACTCTAAAATTTACTTGGCACTTTTTTTTTAATGGAAATGCTAACTGAAAGCCTTAGTTATTTTCTCATGCTACATAGTCTTTCTATAAAGTACAGGATGTGTATTATTTGCACAGGATGTATTCTCGGGGGGCAGGTGGGAACAAAAATATAACTAAACTGAATCTGGATATAAAAAAATAACTTCTTCAAAATTAGTATTCAATCTCTAACAAGCCCAGCTTTTTAAATGTACCTTTTTAAGGTCTTAAATCTATAAACATTTGCTTCTAATCTGGCTCTTCAAGACAAATTTTATCAGCAAAAAATCTGAAAACAAACCATCAAAAAACCCCAACAGCTTGGGAATCTTCGACTTTCATAAAATAATACTAAGCTATTAACAAGGAGAAAGAATAAAAGAACTTCAAAATTCATAAAGGAAATGAAGAGATTTCTCAAAGCCATTAATAAAATATGGAGCTATGGCAGGGGTTGGGGGGTTGTTGAGAAATAGAGAATAACAATGTATAACATTTTTAATGATGTTTTACTATTTATAAAACATTTCATATAGGAATTTGGGGAAAAATTACTTCAAGAGATATCATTTTACCATGAGAAGTGAGTTCCCTCAATTCCTGTTAAAATTCCTCAATGCAATCACAATACTGACAGGATAAAATCTAAACACCTTTGCAAAGCATTCAATAGCTTTTTGTGATATGATTCCTGTGTACCTTTTTTTCCTTTTTGTCTTTTTTCATGTCCGGCAACGGATCGCAACCCTCAGTGTCGTGCCCGTACCGGACCAGGACCGGCAACGGGATCGCAACCCTCGGTGTCGCGCCCGCACCTCGCTCAGCCAGTGAGCGGGAACCGGTCTGTATGTGGGATCCGAACCCTTGGCGGGAGCGCCGCCGCGCTCCCAAGCAGCGCACTGTAGCAGTGCGCCACCAGGCCGGCCCGATTCCTGTGTACCTTTTTTTCCTTTTTGTCTTTTTTCATGTCCGGCAACGGATCGCAACCCTCAGTGTCGTGCCCGTACCGGACCAGGACCGGCAACGGGATCGCAACCCTCGGTGTCGCGCCCGCACCTCGCTCAGCCAGTGAGCGGGAACCGGTCTGTATGTGGGATCCGAACCCTTGGCGGGAGCGCCGCCGCGCTCCCAAGCAGCGCACTGTAGCAGTGCGCCACCAGGCCGGCCCGATTCCTGTGTACCTTTCCAGGAGCACTTCCAGTCTCTTCCCTCCACCCAACTTCATCCTCGACATGAAGACAAAAATTCTCTCGCTCTTCCAAGCTTTTCCATGTGGAGTCCCTTTGCCTGGGCAAATGCCTATTCATCCTGCAAGTCTCAGTTCAAATACTACCTCCCCTGTGAATTCTTCCTTCACTTTCCCATATAGAGTCTGGCCTTGGTAGTTACCTCTGCTTATACTTTGTATTGGCTCTACCATCTAATTATATCTTAACTAATTGTTTAAATGCCTAGTTTTTTTCCCCATTACAAAGTGAGGACCACATCTTTTCTTTTTTGTATTTCCAGCACCAAGCACACAACCTCATTCACAGTTAAGAAGGCATCCAAAATGAAAAAGAAAGAGGGTGGTCATGAATGGCCTCCTAAAAATGCTGTGGGAATTTAAGGATTTGCAAAGTCTTTCTGTGGAAAACCTAAAGCAACCTTTCAGCAGAATCATTGGCCAGTTGGAAATCTCAATGAGTATGCGCAGAATATAATTATATTTTTGTAAGAGTTAAAAAAAAAAACAACAAAACCTTATGTTTAAAAAAAGATTAGAGGGCTGGCCTGTGGCTCACTTGGGAGAGTGTGGTGCTGATAACACCAAGGCCATGAGTTCGGATCCCTATATAGGGATGGCCGGTTAGCTCACTTGGGAGAGCATGGTGCTGACACCAGCAAGTCAAGGGTTAAGATCCCCTTACCGGTCATCTTAAAAAAAAAAAGATTATCAAAATCTTAACAGTGATGTTGTTAGAATGGTGGGAAGCCATGGTCCCTGAATATACATGAAAAACACAAAGTGTTTTTCCTATACTCTTACTCAGGAACAATCAACATAGAAGACTTCTGTGACTATATGTTGTGAGGGTTTTCCCCCACACATACCAAGCAATCAGTTCTCCAACAGACACCAGCTGGGTGTCCTTCAATTCAGTTTCAACATTATCTACCTGGAGATAGCATCAGATCCCACAGGTTGAGGGATCAGTCCCCGAGACCGCTCCCCTCCCAACTTCAGGTGCCAATCACAAGCCCCAGGGTGTTTTACCTGTGCTTCTCACAGACTGACAATAAATTGAGGTTCCTGCGACTCCCCTCCTTGGATTTCATTAATTTGCTAGAGGAACTCAGGGCAACATGGACTTAATGCTTACTAGTTTATTATAAAGGATATCACAAAGGGTACAGATGAAGAGACACATAGGGCAAGTTATGGGGGAAGAGGCAAAGAGCTTCCATGCCCTTGGGGTGTACAACCCTCTAGGAGCCTCCATGTGTTCAACTATCCAGAAGCTTCCTGAACCCTGTGCTCTTGGGATTTTGATGGAAGCTTCATTACATAGGCATGATTAAAGCATGTACAACTATGTAAAAATGTGATTGAACAAAAAGGGTATGATCTAACAAACTGGGTGTGGAAACCTAGCAAGGTTTCCAAGACCAAGATTCTTCTTGGTCTCTCTGTGCAGCCTTCCTTCCTCTTGCATATGGGGTGGTACCCCTTCTCAAATAGGGGTCTTATGACATACAATCTGATAAGGTAGGTTGGAAAACTTCTTGCCTCAGGAAGAAAGAGGAGGTGAAAGGAAGGCAGGAGAAGGTCAGAGAGACAGACACTGTTTCCTGAGACCTGCTTCTTTTGTTATATTGTTGGCCTAAAGTATCCCAACAATATAACAAAAGAATAAGGGTTATGGGAGTTATGAGCTAGGAAGGATGGACAAGAAACAATATACATATATCATAATATCACACATGGGTAAATTTCTGCACCCACCCCTTTTTTTCCTCTGTTTTCAAAAATATCTTTTTTTTTTTTCGTGTCCGGCAACGGATCGCAACCCTCAGTGTCGCGCCCGTACCGGACCAGGACCGGCAACGGGATCGCAACCCTCGGTGTCGCGCCCACACCTCGCTCAGCCAGTGAGCGGGAACCGGTCTGTATGTGGGATCCAAACCCTCGGCGGGAGCGCCGCCGCACTCGCAAGCGGCGCACTGTAGCAGTGCGCCACCAGGCCGGCCCCTCAAAAGTATCTTAAATGCTTAACTTAATCTAATACTATTTTCCATGATATGATGTTGGACCTCTGTAAAAATTAATGGAAACACTCTAAACTTCCAAAATCACCAAATCGAAATGGGGAGAACCTAGCACCATGCCATTCCAAGCACAGAGGAAAATGACAACAACCCAGCGTCTTGTTGCCCCAAGGGCAAAAGAAACAAAAAAATGTAGAATGTACATACTTCCAATACATTGGCTTTTATGATTATTCTGTACATTCCTAACCTGTTTTGATCATTTCTTTCAAAATCCAAAAAAGATGCTACTTATATGGAATTAGAAACCAATTAGCATTCATAGATTACTTATTATAATAGTAGATGCTAAACTGTATATCAAATAAAATAAGACATGGTATCTACCTGCAAGCAATTTACCGTTTGGTGGGACAGGGAAAAACTACTGCAAAAGTTTTCAGAACCAAAATGGAGTTACTAGTGTTAAAAGAAAAACCCTGACAAATAGAACTGGGAAAGGGCCATGAAGGCAGAGTTCTCATGCAGGTATGCCTGATAACAAGAACTATCACAAAGGACTCTGCAAAACCACAACCTTGCACAGGGGCCATTGCAAACCTAATAAAAAATATTTCTGCAAGGACATCTGCCCAGCAACTGCCTGTCCGACCTCAGACTGTCATCACCCTTGTTACTGACACTTGAAGCCAAGGATAATTATCCCAAAGCAATTACTTAATCCTCCATCACTTGTCCTTTAAAAACCTTTGTCTTCCTTTATCTCCCTGAATATGCACATAGTTCATTATGGCACATGTATTCCCATCGCAACACCTTATTCCTAAATAAATACCATTTTATTTTCTGTAGACTCTCTGTTATTTAGGTTGACACTATCTAGATAAAACACCAACAGTATATAATTGGGTGATATATGTGACAGACAATAATCTCATTGGCCAAACCAACACAAAATACCATTAGTACCAGATAAATATGGCACAGTCTGAGAGAGTAACTATTCTATTTTTAGATTGGAAAGATGAGACATTACAGCTTTAAGTTAGAAGATCACGCTAAACCATAAAGCTATTTTTCAAATGTTGAGGATTGAGTTTGGTTATAAGTGTGACAGAAATTGTAGCAATAAAATCAAATTTTAGACTGTTGATTTTCTATGCATAAAAACCTTCCATGGAAACAAATTATACCTGAGGTTTTTGCCTCTGGGCTTCTACTGCTGGGAAGATCTCCATCCAGAGACTCAGCAGAGTGAAAAGGTTGACTTTAGAAAGCCTTGGTATCTGACCTACAAAAGAGAGGACGAACACTTTAAAATTTTTCTAATGGTGAAAATAAGAACTAAGCTCAACGCCACTTGGGTGCTGCAAACTTAGCTCATTTGCTTTAGCAGGCAGCAGAGAAAAGGGATTAGAGAACAAGAGAATCAGATTTCTCAGCAGGAAAAATCCCACCCTCAGTTGCGGCGACCTCCTATGGCACTTTCCAAAGTTGGGCCCTCTTTTTTCCAGCCCTCGCCAGGCAGAAAAAATGGTACAACTGATACATGTAACTGTGGAAACAACCCAAAGTAAGTTGGGAAAAGCCCTCATCTCTGACGTCGTCGTGGAGCACGCTTTTCTTTGGTCTGGGATGACGCGTAGCTACAAGGGCAGTGACTAGAACACGACACTACAAATGCGGTGACCTTCGACCCCAAAGCAGTCGACATATAGGAACGCGTCAAGTGCGGCTAATTTGGAAACCAAGGCAAACGCGAGGTTCGGGGTATTTTCAGGCTCTTCGACCCCTGAGATCCCAGCTCTAGGTCCCGTAAGGAACAGTAAAGGGGGGCAATTTGCACGACTTCAAAAGCCGGTGCCGCCGAGCCGAGACGACCCGGTCACCAAGGCGGGGACCCACCCAGGGCGGGTTTGAGACCTCCAGGAACAGCAGGGCAGGCAAAGAGGGGCGGGCAAGGGACTCGGAGTTCAACGGCGGGAGACGCGCAAAGCAAAGCCAAAGGCGGGGTGGCGGGGGCAGAGTCTCGGGCACTCACCGGTCATGCTGCCAGTCTGCGTGCTGACTGACCGCCCGGCCCCCGCGCTCTCTAGATTTTGCATCTGCCCTGCTTCTTTCATCCCAAGCCCAGCGTCCTCTGCCGCCCGGGAAACCTCTCCCTGTCAGGCATGATCTTGGCCCCAGCTGTTGCCCCTCCCCCCTCCTCCCAACAAGTGTAAAGCAATTGCCAACTAGGCGCGGCCGGATGACGTCTCAAGCCCACCGCCACTTCCGGGCGCCTTGGGGGACGTCATCGAGGCGTGGACGTGGCCGCGCAGGGCTGCGCCTCGGGCGGTGGCCGAGGTCCTAGGTGGCGCAAACTCTGATGGGGTGATGGCTGCCAAGAGATGAGAATTTTTTTCTGAGAGCGAAGGAGAGTTGGAACGGAAACCTACCCGGTCTGTCATGGTCAAGGTTTTGGAGAACCTTGGGGGTGAAGCGGGGGGCGCGGGGGGAGCTGGACGGTCCAGGGTATTGTTATTATCAGAGATTGGCAGGTCCTGGGGAATTTAGTGTCATGGAACGCAGTAGGGACTTTCTGCTTCCTGTCAGGAACATGAAGACATGAAGAGATTGAACTGTCATTGGGGAAAAGGTGAGGGGAGGAGAGAGTAGCACATGGCCCCTGGAAAATCTGAGAAGTAGCCTGACGTCGTGGGTTTGTGCCCAGTGCATTTTATTGAAGTGTCCCAAGGCATGACTCAAAATGAAGCCCCTCCCTCCCTAGTGACTCAAAGTCCAGTTTCCATCACCAGTTTGTTCTGTTAACCACAACTTGAAAACTGACGAATAAGACAAAAATTGCTCTCATTCTTTGAAAGCAAAAACTGAATGTTGTGAAGGTACAGAATTTTGTAAAGGACTGAAGTGAGAATCTTCGTGTTGATGGTATGGCTGTGGTTCATTAATTTTCATTACTGTATAGTACTTCATTGTAGGTATATACCACAATTTATTTGAGTCGAGGGACATTTGGACCATCTCCAGCTTCTTGCTATTGCAAAAAAAAAAAAAAAAAAATGCTTCTGTAAACATTTTTGTATGCAAGGGTACAATAAAAAGTTTATGGACTCGACTATTTATTATCTTTTAATTCCGTTTTTTCATGAGCTTTTCCAAGTACCCTCCTTATGTTCATATGCAAGAGTTTCTTTAGGGACCATACTTAAGAGTACAATTCTTAGGTTGTTATTGTTAAGTTTACCAGGTAATACTGAAACATTTTCCAAAGGAATGAACTAATTTACATAGCTCTGTATTCCCATCAGTTCTTGGTATTGTCAGACCTTTAATGTTTGCCAATCGGACTGGTATAAAGTGGTATATTGTTAAACTTGCAATTAGCAATTTCACTAAACTCATTTATTAATTCTACTAATTTATCTGTAAATTCTTTTGGATTTTATGGTACACGATTAAATCATGTAACAATAATGAATTGTATTTTTTCCTTTTTAATCTTTTTTTCCCAAGCGCTGTCTAGAAACTTCAGTACAGTGTAGAATTAGCAGTGGTGACAGCAGGCATCCTTGTTTTAGTTCCTGCCTTCACAGGAATGTCTCTCTAGTTGCCTTAGGATTTTGTGTGTATGTGTGTTTGTTTTTTAGATACCCTTTATTAGATTAAGAAATTCCTTTAGTTGACTAAGAGATCTATTTTAAAATCATGAATAGATGTTAAATTTTATCAAAACCTTTTTCTGAATCTTTGAGATAATTTTTCTCCTTTATTCCATTAATTTGTTTAATTGCATTGATTGATTATCAATTGGTAAACCAACTTGTATTTCTGGAATGAATACCATTTAGTTGTGCTCTATTTTCTTTATAATAAATTGATGGATTCCATTCGTTAATATTTTATCTAGGATTTTTGTATCTATGTCATAAGTAAGATTGGCTATAATTTTCCTTTCTCATAATAGTCTTTTCAAGTTTTGGTTTCATAAAATGAATCAGGTGTGTTTCCTCTTTTAATTCTGTGGGTGAGTTTGTATAAATTGATATTATTTTTTTGCTTAAATGTGAGGTGGAATTCATCAGTGAAGCCATATTGACCTAGAGTTTTCTTACTGGGAAGGTTTTGAAATTATGGCTTAATTTCTTTTAGAATTATTTATAATTTTATTTATTATACTTATTTTGGTAGATTGTATTCTTCAAGCATTTGTCCATTTTATCGAAGTTTTCAAATGTCTTGGTGTAAAATGGTTCAAAATATTATTTTACCATTCTAATGTTTACAGTGGTGTTGTGTTTTGTATTCCTTACATTGCTTTCTTGTTGCCTTCTCTTTTTTTTTCTTTTAATTAGTCTTGCTAGGTATCAAAGTACCAAATTTTTGGCCTTATTGATCGTCTTTATTGTTTATTTGTATTTATTTCATCAATTACTATTATCTTTAGCATTTCTATTTTTCCACTTTTTTTGGTTTAATTTGTTTCCATATTTCTTGAGATGGATAATTAACTTTTAGAGTTTCAGCCTCTCTCTTTTCTACTTAGCATTCAGGACTACACATATCCCTGTAAGATAAGGTTTAGCTTCATCCCACAAGTTTTTAATGTTTTTATTATTACTTAGTTAGAAATATATTCTAATTTCCTTTGTGCTTGTTTCTTTGACCTATTAGTTATTGAGAAGTATACTCCCTTATTCCAAACATATGAGGATTTTGTAATTATCTTCAAGTTATTGATTTCTGGTTATATTGCATTGTGGACTGGGAACATACTATGTATTTGTTTCAGTTCTTTGATATTTGTTTAGACTTGCTTTATGGCCCAGAATTTGGTCAATTTTTTCAAATATTTTCTGTGCATTTGAAGAGAATGTGTACTATGCATTGTTGGGAACAGTGTTCTATATGTGTCCATTTGTTAATTATGTTATTCAAAACTTCTATATCCTTATGACATTTTATTTTGGTTTGATTAAATTTTTTATAATAACAATTCCTTCCCGCCCACCTCTTACTCTCCACCCCCCACCATTAGCTTGGAAGTCATATACTCTTTTTCTATTCTTTTAGTAATTACTCTAAAGATGTCAACCTGCATTCTTGATTTAGCTATTGATTTTTTTTATGTTGGCCTCACATCTAGCAATCTTCCTAAACTCTCTCATTAGCTTTAGGAGTTAGCTTAGCTTATAGATTTACTTAGATTTTTCTAGTCTGCAAATGATGGAAATTTGTTTCTTCTGTTTTAATCTCTCTACATTTTGTTTCTTTTTCTCACCTTACTACACTGGCTAGGCCCTGCAATATGGTGTTAAATGAAAGCAGTGAATAGTGGCATTTTTGTTTAGTTCCTTACTTTAAAGGGAATGCTGTCAACGTCACATCATTAATATAATGTACCTGGTAGGTATATTGGTAGATTCTCTTTATTAAGTTAAGGAAGTTTTCTAGTTTTTCTTAATTTTTAAAGTCATGAGTGTATGCTCAATTTTGGTGTATGCTTTTTCCTGCTTTATTGAGATAATTGCAAGGTATGTCTCCTTTAATCTGTGAATATGATAAATTGCATTAATATAAATTTCTGATATAAAATTATGCTTGCATTACTGAGATAAATGTCACTTGGTATTAATATATGTTTTTTCTACATTGTTGAATTCACTTTGAAAATATTTCAGTTAGTTTTTTTAAACATCTAAATTCACAAGTGAAACTGATAAAAAGTCATCTTTTCTTTTACTATATTTGTGCAATTTTGGAATCAGTTATACTAGTGTTATTGAGTGAGTTGAGAATTTTTCTTTTTTTACTGTTATCTGAAAAATTTATAAAAGATAGGAATTATTGCTTTCTTATATTTGTAGTAAAGATCTCATCTTGTCTTTTTGGGCAAAGGTGAGAAAGACTTTACTTGATTCTTCTTGAGTCAATTTTTTAAATTAATATTTTTCATTTAAGTTTTAAAAATGATTGACATGAAGTTATTTTTAGTGTTTTTAAATTTCTGATATATCAGTAATTTTGCCCCCCTTTTTAATCCTAATATTTATGCCTCTCCTTTTTAAAAATCAGCATTAGGCTTTTACAGAGTGGTTACAGCAAAAGAACCCAGAAGCAACAGAGGCAGTATTATTGGCAGTGTTTAACCAATACTGAAATTGTTCACCATCCATCTAGATAGATGAGGAAGTGGAACCAAAGAGAGAAGGGAATGGTCCTGGAACTGGATTCATGATGAGTTGAAAGGGCACGTGTATCCATTTGTTCATGCACTGAGCACCAGATGCTGTCCAGGTGCAGAAGATGTGACAGTGTCCAAAGCATACACACTTGCTGCCCCTGGGGAAACCATAGTCTGTTGTTTACAAGCAAGAAAATATATGTAGAGGTTGCTAACTGATGTATAGACAGTCAAGGAAGTTTTCACCAATAAAATGACATTTGAGCAGAGATGCCATACAGGAATTATAGTAAGTACGGGTGTACAGAAAACGAAGAGTATAAAGGGCACCATGAGCGTGTCAAAGAAATAAATCTCCCATAACTTAGGAAATTCACATTGGGCCTGAGCAATCATGGATTCCTTGTCTATGTGAACACTACCAATCCTTCCTTTCAAGTATGCCTGTGTTAAAATTTCTCTCTGAATTAACACCAAGGCCATTGCCCCACATTTTAGGGAATCCACCTTCTCCTGACTTCCAAAGTAGGAAATTAAATTAGCTCTAGGCTATCAGCACCTCTCATGTTCTCTACCATGGGAATATCCAATGATGTTGAGTGATGTCTTTTGCAAGTTTAACCAGTTAGGGATTCTAAGCTTTGGGGGATATAATTTCATTGGGCCCAAGGACTAGAATTCACTAAAAACTGTCTCTCACACATTCTTTGGCTCTCTTTTATAGATGTCTTTACCAATGTTTATTCTGTCTTTTTCAATTGGAATTTTTTTTTTTTATGTGTTAAAGACTGAAAACAAAAATAAGTTGAGGAGTTCCAGTTGCCAGAACACGGTGGTTAAAAGCATAGCTCTGAAATAAAATACCTGGGTTCAAATCAACTATATCATTTAATAATTGTATGGCACTGAGGAAATTATGCCTTAGTTTTCTGATATGTAAAATGCAAGTGATGACAGTACCAACCTCGGAGTCATGTTGTGGAGATTAAATGAAAGGTGTGAACTACCTGGCAAAAAAT